CTGTGCTATTCTGCAGACAGTGCAGCTAGAACACTTTTGGTCCAGCATTCAGCCTGTGCTCCACCCACATGGAGGAGTAGGGTTCTGGGGTGATCGGCTTATAGGGTTCTGGGAGCACTTGTTGAATAAAGAGCTTTATTTTGAGGCATTGTCCTACTTTCTGGAAGTAATTTTGATGATCTTTGTGACTCTGGTTTTCCGGCGTCATCTAGGGCCTGTTGTCATTTGTAGATGTTTTCTACATATAGAGAGTTACCAGAAATCTGATCCTCAGGGGGAAAAAGTACATTTCATACTTTAAAAATTCCTTTGTGGCTTTATTGTCCTTTGGCTCTAAGTGGAAGTGAATATTTGAGTGTTTCATCCAACATTGAGGAGACCTACCTAACAGATTTACACACTATGTGATCTTCTCACAGACCATTCCTTTTTTCTTCCTAGAGAGTCATTATCGACCTGTCATAATGTGTATTCACGGTTTCCTGGGCTGGAAGCCAGATGACAATCCTTTCCTTTTTAAGACTGTCTGATGTAGCATTGGAGATTGTCTTCTCAAAGGCTTCTTCCCTGTGCCTTGATTTGTAGACTCGGATCTTTGTGGAGTGAAGCCTCCATGCCACATACTAATTAGTAAACAGGGGCATAGCCAGCCCAAGCATGAGCTCCTTGGCAGGTACCAGGATAGCACTGGGACTGAAGGATGTGGATGAAATGAGACTCATGTGACAATTATGACAGTCACATCCTCAAATGAGGATGTGACAGATGAGACTCATCTGTCGGTCAGCTTGGGACAGCGTCAGCAATCAGCCCCATCCCTGCTCTGCCCTGTCCGTTTGTGGCCTCAGTCTTAGCTCAGGGCTCTGAGCCTGCGCATCTTCAGGGCTGGTGACTTGACTCCTGAGTTCACTTGGTTTGCTTCTCCTTGCTCTTTGATCTAGTCCTACAGCCTCACCCTCCCTGAGCCTCATCCAGTGGGGTGGGTGATGTCCTGCTAGTGCGCTAAGGCGCTGGTTATCAACCTGGGTGCTTTTATCCTTTAGGGAACATTTGACATTGTCAGGAGGCACTTTTGATTGTCACAGTTGGGGATGGCAGGTTCTAAAGGCGTCCATCTAAAGGTGTCTAGTAGCTAGAGGACGGGGTGCTGTCAAATTCGTATAATGCACAGGACAGCCCCTTATGACAAAGAATGATCTGGCCTCAAATGTCAGTTGTGCCAAGGATGGAGACACCTTGGATTAAATGGGTTTATTTCATTTTTCAGGGACCCATGCTTTTTGTTGTGGCTTAGTAGATGTTTTCTGAATTCTTGGACTTGCTGTGGTTTTATTTTTTGTTGTTGTTGATGATGGGAAATTCTGTCAACTGTGAATAACCGGTGAGCCTGGTAAATGAAACTTACAGAACAAAGATACTATCTGATCCAGAAGTGACAGCTTCCTCCGCACTCTTTTGTCACCTTTCCTTTTTGTCCACCTGCCCGTAATGTGCAAGCCTTCTGCCCAAGAGGGGAAGTCAGAAGAATACAGTCATCGTGTGCCTTTCCAAGTGTTTTCCTTGCCCCTCTGCTCCCCCTAGTGGAGATGGCCACATACACCAAAGGATAGTTGGTGGTGGAAATGGGGAAGGAATGGAATAGAGAGGGTGAGAAGGAGGGCCTGTTACGGATACAGAGTCATTAGCTTTATTACAATATTTGAAAACTTATTTATTAATGCCAGTTATGGAGCTCCAAACTACACTCAGTCAACAGTGTAACTGCAAGGCAGATCTTGCCTCAACTGGGCATGGCTGGCCATTTCCCTTCCGTCTGTCCACATGGAGAATGCGAGTGCCGCCTGATAAATGCAAACCAGGCACAGGGCTGTCTTGGTTTGATCACTTCAGATGTAAAAGGCACGGGTCATATAAAACCTAAACATCAGAACCATCCCAGCCACCGCCCCCACAGCAAAGGTGTGTTGCTTTAGCCGGTGTCTTTGGTTAGTGACTCAAAATAAGACTTGTTTAGCTGGTTCTGAAGAGAACAGGCTGTTTTCACTTCGAATGTGTTTTTCCTGTTAAAAAGGACTAGAATGTGTCAGAGGACCCAGTCAAGAAGGTGGACAAGGAGGGCCCTGTCTGTACATGTTCCAGCAGCGCCTCCAACACGATTGGTTCCCGGGCTCCTTTGCTCCGTGAGTTGGGAGGCGAGCTCGTGGTTAGCACAGCCGACAAGGACTCACACCTCAGACCGGGGGCCGCTGGTGAGAGGGCCCCGGGACTGGCTTCAGGTTGGTGGCATTGAACCGTGCAGCCAGTGAGTATCCAGCTTTGGGGCATCTTCCTAGGAATTTGGACTTACTTGGGAGGAAAAAAATGTTTTGCTTGTCCTTCCCTCCTGCTCAGCTTGTCCTTTTAACAACAGAAGATACCGCATTTAGAGCAAGACTCCCACCCCAGGCCATCTGCCTGCCTTGCACCAGTAATTCCATGAATGTATGTTTTTCTTCTCTTCATCTGCTAATTCTCCCAGCTCCTCGAGCTTGGTACGGCATTACAGTAGACTCATAGGTCCTTACCGTCACTGGACTGTGGTTTCTGGTTGGGGTTTCATGTGGTAAGTTCCTTCCCCTTTGAGTTTTCTGCAGGCAGCTGGGAGATACAGCTTGGTGTGGAGCAGACCAAATGGGATCAGGAAGCTTGAGCTATGGTTTGATTCTGAATCTCATCGGAAAACAGAATGTTTTCTGGACCTCAGCCTCTGTGAATGAAGAGTTTGTACTTGGTTATTATTTTCCTAAGCAAGATCTCACGTAGTACCCCAGTCTGCATACAGCTATTTTATACACTTTAATTTATCCTACTTCCTTTTAAAGTGGATGACTAGGCCAGTGAGCTACTCTGGAAAGTCAGAATTAGTGAGATGGTGTGCACGCATGTCTAGTTAGCACACAGTTGATTTCTGTGCTGCATTTTGGCTGTGGATTAGTGGATGTCCAGATTCACCCTGATAGCAAATGGTAATGGCTACTGTTTTTTTTCAACACCAGGCTAAGTTGCTATTAATGTAAATTTGTACAGAGGCTGGAAAGAAAAGTGGTAGGGAATTGTTTCAGAGTTGAGTCATTAGCATTCTCTAAAGACTGTTATTACTTGTAATGAAGAATGATCAGCCAAAATGTCTCTGAAACATACAATTTATGATGGACCCTCATCTGACATTTAATCTGGGCCTCATAGTATTTGGTATCATGCAGTCTCACATGAGTAGATATGTGGACCTGAATTTTATAAAACAAATAAGCAAATAAGACCACTGCCAAGCATTAATTTTCCTACCAAATTAGCATAGGAATTCAAAGTGTAAACTCCACATACAGAGGTATGCGGAAATTTTGTTGAGAATCTGTAGTATAAAACTTTTCCTAACCAAATTTTTTAAAGGAAGAAATATTACGCTAAGGAAGACAAAATTCAAATGAAAACATTTGTGGAACCTCAGAAACATCTCTGGGGACCCTAAAGTCCTTTGGAACACAGTTTGAAGACCAGTAACGCCTATTCATCTAGTTTACCAATGTGTTCTGTGGTTCTACAACTTTCCCCATTTTACTTATGCAGAACCTGAGACAGACTTGTCTACAGTCCCACAGTGCTAATGGGTGGGACCGGCTATGGCTTTCCAGGCCCTAGATGCAGGAATTCTTTCAGTTCCTCTTCATCACCCTTCTGATGTCCTGGGATCATCTTGGATACCCAGTGATGGAACCAACAGCCTCTACCTAAGTATCCCCCAAACTTCTTTCCCCTCCTATCCCTCGTCTTGGACATCTTTTTGGTCCTAAAGTCACTGCCCCTTCTCGAATTATTTTCTGAAGCTTTTGTCCCTTTTTTTTTTCTTTTTGTACCCATCTACCACCACATCCTTTTTAGTTTAACACCCACCTAGTCAAGGGCAAAGTAGTCGTTCACTGCTATGTGACAGATCCTAGGGTTAAAAACTCCCAACAGGTGAGGTTGGCTTATGTTCTCAGGGTGTCCGGCTTCTTTGTGGTTCACCCCGTGCGGTGGTCCCGGAGGTCACTGCTCATGTGTGTTTTGTCATCCCTGCCGTCCCATTCTTTCATTTGACAAACACATAATGACCGTCCCCAATGTGCAGGCAGTCCCATTCCTGGCACTTCCTGTCTCCAGGGAGCTCACAGACCCTATAGGGGAAATGAAAGAAAAAATTATCCGATGGAGAAGTAGTTAAGAAGCTCTTTAGAAGGAGCACATACTTCTGGGGGGTACTCCAAGGAGGACGGGCCCTCCTCAGTCCAGGGATCCAGGGAAGGTTTAAGGCAGGATTTGGGGTTCATTTGTGAGATAGTGATGGGGTTTCCAAGGCAACATGGATGAGTACAGTGGGCTCAGGATTTGTGTGTGTGTGTGTTTTAATAGTTTAATGTATTTCAATAGCAAACTTAAAAACATGTACTTGCATGTAGGACAACTCAGAAAAGCATAGTGAATGAATGGAATCTACTGATAAAAATNGTGTGTGTGTTTTAATAGTTTAATGTATTTCAATAGCAAACTTAAAAACATGTACTTGCATGTAGGACAACTCAGAAAAGCATAGTGAATGAATGGAATCTACTGATAAAAATGCTACAAATACTATTTAGTTGCAGTCAACAAGAAATTTACCTGTTTTTAAAAAAATCCAAATACTGGTGTTGTCCAGAAAAATTTAATAGGTTTATTTATATTGTTGAACTGCTGAAACTTGTTCACTGAAACATTTTGACTTGCATTAATGCTTTACATCCCCACATTTATATTAAAAATTCACACAAATGAAAGTGGAGAAATTGCCAATACTGATTCCCCACCCCCACCCCATTTTCCACTTGCAGTTATATGTTTAGGTATCTTTTGACCCCATGGCGGGGGGGATATTTTAACATTCAGAACTACCAGTAATAGGAAGCAGAGAATTTTTCTTAAACTTTTTTTCATCATAGTGGTTCTTAAACAGGATCTCTAGGGATGTGGTGCGCGAGCTGGATATTTTTTGGCATGAGGGTTACACATTTGGCATATATACAATCCAGGTTGATGTCTTTTAAAAGGCAGCAGGTCTTGCTTTCCTCCTGTAGAGGACCAGTAGCTGCAGTCTGGAAGCGCAGATCTGTTTTGCAGTCTTGAGCAATTTCCGGCACCAGCCGCAGGAACGAAAGTGTACGAATCAATTTCACCAGGCCTGTGACAGTGAGGTTTCCCTACCCCCCTAGTAGAGGGCACACTCTTGTGAGCAGCTGGTGTAGCCAGTTGCTTCTTTGATGCTTGACCATGGGTGGATTTCCTGGCAGTCTGTGTAGAGACCTCCTTACTTACCCTCTTCTGCCGCTGGAGCTTGGCGAGCTAGAGGGTGCACTGGCTTTGGACAGCTAGAGAGTGATGGTGGCGTGGCAGCAGCCTCTGCAAACACAGATAGGGTTTCTTGAATATTACTGTGGAGGGGGAGGCAAGAGGGTAGGCCCTGATGGCTGCCATCCAGACAGGTGGGAAGATCGGGTGACCCCTCATAGGACAGCAGAGTTGTGGGAATGACTAAGTTCAGGCAATGCTACCCATGTGCATGTGGTACCTCCAGGCTGTGTTGGGACTGTCCTGTGGGCCTGAGGAAAAGGTCAGATCTCTGTGGCTGGGGCTGGTATTGCTCCTGAAGGGATAGGCATTTCTATCTTCATCCATCCTCCAAAGACACGGGTCCTGATGTGACAAATGGTCTCCCACTAATGTCGGATGGGCCTTTGAAGGAGCTTCCTCACTGCTGCTTCAGTCTGGTTCTGACCCTTGTGCAACAGGGCTGATTTTGAGAGTTTCCTCAAGTGCGTTGAGAAATTGGCATCTGGTAGGCAAAGCAGGCCTCGCCTTGAAGAGTGATTGATCCAGAGCTGAGAAGGGTTAGCGTTGCCTGGTAAACGGGTGGCGAATTTCTTCGCATCACTTGCTTCTGTTGCAGGGCCTGTGGTCAGCCCTTAGTAAATAAGGGTCCAGCCTTATCTCAGCTGTGGAAGTAGCGGAAGGGGTGGGTCCTGACTGGGGCCGCAGTGCACCTATGAGGCTCCTCTGCCTGTCTTCAATTCAGCTCTCCCTCCTACCCCACCTTTGGAGGTGGGCTTGCTTGCTTTTTGTTTTTTGGAAAAGTTTTATTAAGATATGTTTAACATTTCATACACTTTTCCCATTTAAAGTATACAGTTCAGCATTTTTAGTATATCCACAGAATTGTGCGTCCATCACCACAATCCACCTTAGAACATTTTTACTACCCCTCAGAATAAACCCTGCAAGACTTAGTTGTCACCTCCTAATTCCCCCCCTCCCCTCAGAACCCTAAGCAATTACTGTGCACATTCTACTTCTAGGATTTGCCTATTCTACTAGACAGTTCATATAAATGGAACCACGTAATATGTGGTATTTTGTGACTGCCTTTTGACACTTAGGATTTCTGGGGATCATCCATGTTGCAGCATGTACCAGTGCTTCATCTCTTTTTATTGCTGAATGGAACAAATTTGCTCCATTTTGGTCATCCATTGTCACTTGATGACCATTTAGGCTTCATTCTTTGTCTATTTTGAATAATGTTGCTGTGAAAGTTCATGTATTAGTTTTTGTGTGGACGTATACTTTCATTTCTCTCAGGAGAATTCCTAGGAGCGGAGTTAGCTGGGTCATCTGATAACTCTGCTTAGTCATTTGAGTAAGTGCCAGACAGTTTTCTGCATCGGCTGCACCATTGTACACGGATATAAGGCTATATATCCGCCCACAGGATATAAGGGTTCTCCTATTCCTACATCCTCACCAACATTTGTTCTTATTTGTCTTGTTTGATTATAGCCATCCTGATGGAGGGGAATTGATATTTCATTGTGCTTCTGATTTGCATTTCCCTAAAGGCTAGTAATTTTTAGTATCTTTTCATATACTTTTATTTTTTAAATGAAGATGTATTTCCTTGCCAAGTGTGATCTTTGGTCACATTTCAAAAGGGAAACCCTATTTCAGCGTGTTGATGAGTGGATGGGAAGCGAGGAAGTGATCACTGTTCTTTTAGGAAGTGATTTTGCCATGTCTGGGTTTTCTTTTTGCCCCTGGCATGTATCACCTGGGTGGGTCCTGCCTCTCCCCAAAGCCAAGGCAGAGAAGCACCGCCTACTATTGGGTTCTTGCTCAGTTCTTGGACCTGCTCTTTCCTTTGCTTAAACTTTGCAACCTTGAGTGGCTTCTTCAGGGGTTCATTGGAGGAAGCGAAGCAAGGCTTCTTGTATGAAAGCTGACAGGTAATTCCTGTCTGCTTTGGGGGCTCTCCTAAAAATAGCAAAAGAAAATTACCAGAGGCTGTCTTTCTTGGTAAGCATCTTGTTTGCTTGCTCTGGGAAAATCCCTTCAGCCCTGGGGTGACTTCGGCTAACTGGCATGGCTTATTGAAAAGGAAGTGCAGCCACTTCCTGGGGTGGAGGGGGGCCTTCTGAAGCCTCAGGCCTTGAGGATGGGAGCTCTGTCTTGTCCCTGTTCAGTCCCCGGGGCCTGATGGCCGCACATGCTCAGTGCATCCTTGCAGCGGTGAACGCAGGTGCCTCTCAGCTGGCCCGTGTGAGAACAGGCTGAATGAAGTGCCACTGAGCCTTGGTAACCAGCTCGTTCAGTCTGTGGGGGTTTTATTGGTTCCCTGGCCGCATTGTTCTCTGAGAACACAAGCGGGGAGTCTCTTAAAGGTGTCATGGATCCCATAGAGAAACTGGTAAACAGGCCAGGTAGACAGTGTTTTACAACTTCAGGCTAGGAGGGGGCATCATACCCTGGAGGGAGGGGAGGAGTCTGAAGCAGATGGGAATGGAGCTGGGTGGGGGTGAGGAGGGGGAGACAGGCTTGGTTTTGATGATCCGCATGATGTGGGGCAGGCTCAGCCAGGTCTGGGGAGCAGCTTGAGGGAAGACAGGGAGACCCTGGGGGTTAAGGGGCTAGCAGACTGGCGATGTGGAGGGTGTGGTGGGCCAGAGGAGCTTATGGGATGAGAAGAGGGAGATACCGCCACACGGACTGGCAGAGCCGTGGCGCGGCACAGTGAAGGCATCTGCCTGCGTTCGGGGCTCTCAGACGTGAGCAGGCATCAGAATCGCCTATTGAAGCACAGGTGGCTGGGTCCACCCCTCCTCCCACTTGCTGGCTGCCTCCAGTTGCTGATTCGGTAGGTCTGGAGTGGGGCCTGAGAATTTGGTTTTCTCACTGATGTTCCTGCCGCTGCCGAGTTGGGGACCACACTCTGGGAGCCACTGGCTTAGAATTCTGCAGTTGGAAAACTTTTTCTGTTAAGGGCCAAGAGTGAATGTTCTAGGCTTTCGAACTACGGTAGGATTTCAGTCACATGTTCTTCATTGCTTTTCACAACCCTTTAAGCCTGTTCAGACCATTCTTGGCCATAAACAGATTGGCAGGGAAGAGGAATGGTCTAGGGAAGGCAGGGCCTGGCTTGCTGCTCCTGGGCCGGCTGGCCATAGATTCTCTCTTCTCTGCCATGTAGCCAACTGACCTTTGTCAAGGTAATCTCCGTGTTGTTGTTTTTTCGTCTGTAAAACAGACATAACATTAATAGTTCTTACCGTATAGGACTCTTTTAAGAATTCAATGAGCTAAGGCATGAAAAGCATCTATCACAGTACCTGGATCATCACTAGAATTTATGTATCGTTTACTATCAGTACCAGGAGAGGTATTACCAGCTACTGATGACGGTTGACAGGTGAGGAAAAGAGAGAGGAAGACCAGCACAGATCTGGTTCATTATTGACCCTGAAAGCTAATTGCTCCAGGGTCCCCTATCATTTTTTCTTATGCTGCTCAGAAAGAGGAATCCTTTGACCCGCAACATAGGCACACTCAGAATACATCCTGGGTCGGTCCCTCGAAGGAGGGGATGCTCAGTCTCTGCTTTCAGACGCCTAAAGAATGGTGCCATTTGTGAGCCGGCTGGTTTGTGAGCCCAGGACTCTCAGAAGGGGGCCCACCTGTGCTATTGCAATGCATCTGTAACCCATGCTTCAGCCTCATTTGTTGGGAAGGCTTGATTCAGGACCACAGTGCAGCCTGTGCTGATACCAGATAGCGTCTGGCTGCATTGGTATTGAGAGGATGCCTTGTAACCTCTCATTTTGCCCCATGGTGTGAGTAAAAATGAGAACCACAAAAAAGCAGGCTGTCATGTGCCCCACATTTCCTGTGCTGAAGTGTGCAAGTGAGAAGTACGGTGCAGCTTTCACTTGTGTAGCTGGCACGAAAAGAGTCGGTGCCCCTTGCACAGCCTCACTGCACCGCTGTCTGGGGAGAGGCCACCTGTGGCCCTGAGACTTTCAGCTCGGCTCCAGACACTGCTACTGAAAGCTGACCATGCTCAAATGATACCAGTTGCAGGGGGGCTCGCTCCTTTCCTTGTCTGATTACCCCCTAGGGGGCATCCACTTTCTGGCTCGCCTCTCCAGCTACGGGCTCTACTCCTTGCCAGAGCACAGAATCATGAGTTGGTAAGTTCAAGTTTCACAGGCACCGAAGTGCCTGCTGGTGATACGACTTCACCCTCCTCTTGGGTTTTTGCTGACATTCAGTGAAATATCCTTCCATCTCCTCCCCACCTTGCAAAACAAATTTCCTGTTTTGAACTTGGTCCAGACTGGAACAGCCCTGCTACTACACCTGTGAACACGCGCAGACACACATTCCTCCCCTCCGTATTTGTACAGCTTTCTGTCGACCGGCCAGATTTCCCCTCTCGGCTTACAGATCCCAAATCATAACACAAGATAGGCTACCAGCAGATGAAGAAAAAAGGAAGTGCACGTTTCAGAGCCGTTTGAGTGAAAACAAGGCTCTGGTTTATTTCGCCGTGTTTTGCCACCAGGACTCTGCTAACTTTCCCCCTTCTTCACAGCAGGATGGAAACAAGGCAAGGAAATCAGCTGATGCAGGAGCCAGAGTGAGTCGAGGAAACCCGCAAACCCAGCCAGTACCATGAGCTCGCGTCTCCCCTCTGCGCTGTAGGAGCCTGGGGCAGGTGAAGTCGGCAGAAAGCAATGGCTTTCTTCACTCCGTGGAAGCTGTCCTCTCAGAAGCTGGGCTTCTTCCTCGTGACTTTCGGCTTTATTTGGGGTATGATGCTCTTGCATTTTACCATCCAGCAGCGAACTCAGCCCGAGAGCAGCTCCATGCTCCGGGAGCAGATCCTGGACCTCAGCAAGAGGTACATCAAGGCACTGGCCGAAGAAAACAGGAACGTGGTGGATGGACCCTATGCGGGGGTCATGACGGCCTATGGTAAGTTCTGCACTGCCGGGGCGCCTCCGTCCAATTCTGCTTTGCCTCCGAGGGACCCCAGAGGCTCTCACACTTGGTCATGGATTGAGCCTACCCCTTGCCACTCCCTTCCTGGCGACACATGGCGCACAAAGGGATGCCTTGAGAAAGCTAAAGCAGTGCCCTTTGGGAGACTCTGACCTCTTACAGACACTGACGTGCAGTGCCCGGAGCAGTGGGGCTTCTCTCTCGGCGCCCTGTTGGTTGTATTTGCAGCTGGCTCCTCTTTGCTGGACACATGGCTGGATTGCATGATCTCATTTGGGAGGATGTTCAGGGAATGTAGAAAAATAGTCTCATTATTGTTCCCTAAACAAAACTTAATTAGGACGGGTAGGGGCGAGGTAAGGAGGGTGAGGAGGAATGTTCTAGGCCTGCCAGAAAACTGAGAGCCAAATGTGTGCCTCCCTCCGGCCAGTATGCACGTCATCAGAGCCTACGTGCTGATCAGTAGCTTTAACCTTGGGCTTCCTCACAGTTTATGGCTCTCTCGTTTCTCGTCTCTGATTGCTCTCACTTTGAAAGAGATCTTTTGGTACTCGTTGCTTTTTTTGTCAGGTGCTCGAAATTCTTTTTGAAATGAGGTTGAGTGAAAAGATATGCATATGGAATATTATTTTTCTTTCGGCAAAAGTTAGGCTTAATATAGAAAAGTTGGAAGCTGTAGACAAACCAAAAAAAAACAAGATTAAGGAAAATCACATATAAATCTACTACTGTGGGAAATAACCACAATTAACATTTCAGTGTATATCTTTCTGATATATATGTATATGCACACACACTCACACACAAACATATATGGACACAAAATATTTATCAAAGCATACACAAATACAATATGAGGGCTTCCCTCGTAGTTTAGTCGGTAAAGAATCTGCCTGCGATGCAGGAGACCAGGTTCGGCTCCTGGGTCAGGACGATCCTCTGGAGAAGGGCATGGCAACCCACTCCAGTATTCTTGCCTGGGGAATCCCATGGACGGAGGAGCCTGGCAGGCTACAGGCCATGGGGTTGCAAGAGTCAAACATGACTTAGCGACTAAACCACCACACACATGCAAAACAAAAATTGCAAATGAAATTTGGATCAGACTGTGTTTCGGAGAATCCAAGTTGCAGCCCTCCCATGATCACTGAATATTTGAGTGGACTTGGTTCACAGTGGATGACCTTTGTGAAGTCGTGCAGTGACAGTTTTGGCCCTTGAATGGAGACTTCAGTGGCCTCAAGGTTTGGAACCTGAGGTATAATATAGATCAGATACAAGGGTGGGGTTGGTTGAGGTGGGAAACATTGATGGACTACTTTAGCGTTCAAATGACGATTCCTGAAAATGTGTAGCAACAGGTGTTGAGCTTTGAGTTCAAACAGAGGAGCTGTTATTTAGTCACTGAGTCATGTCCAACTCTTTTGAGACCCTATAGACTGTAGCCTTTCAGGCCCCTCTGTCCATGGGATCCTCCAGGCAAGAATCCTGGAGTGGGCTACCATTTCCTTCTCCAGGGGATCTTCCCGACTCAGGGATCAAATCCATAGGAGGATTCTGTACCACTGAGCCACCTCAGAAATCCTACTCAATTGTACATAGACGTTTTCTTTCTTTTTAAAAGAAATCCAAGAAATATGGTTACTTTTTAATTATATATATTTTTTGGTAAGGTGGAAATGGTTGTTTTTCACATACAGTGTGGACTTTCTTTTTCAGTGCCCACTGTTTGAATGATCACACAATCTGCTTTTAATTCAGTCTTTCAGGATTTGGCAGTGTCTGTTGGCACTGGTTTTTTTTAATACGTCTAAATGTCACCTTTCTTTGATCTGATGAATCAAAAATGAGACTAGTTTGAGAGCTGATGTTGGAAAACAACTAGGTAGTTTTTCGGAGGGTGCATTTTAAATTACATGTTGACTTGAATCTTCTGTATTAATACCCCAATATTATAGGTAAACCACCAGAAAAAGATAAATAAAGCAAATTGTCACTATTGGTGTTTCTATTGTGTTACAAGTAAATGTCACGAGTAAAACAGGTGCTGCTTTTCCAATTTCTGGTTCAGTGTATTCCTTATTAC